AGGAGCGCACCTGGGTGGTGGCGACAGAGTGAAGCATGAACGGCATGCTGCCCTTTTGTTCTGCCTGCCACGGGAGGCGCGAGGAGCTCGGACCCTTCGAGCGGACACCTGTGCCCTGAGGGGCGCGTGATTCGCTCAGATGAGGGACAAAAACCACTTTGATGGTGGCGCTTTCACATGCGCGCGCGCGTAACGGCTCAGGTTTTTATGCCGAAAAAGGTTTGATCGTCCTCGATCCGTTCTAAGGCCATCAAGCCATGGGCGCAGGTGAGAGGGAGCAGTTCTGCAGCTCAAATCGAAGCGACGTCAGAGCCGAGTGGGTTACAGTGGTCACGCATTTGTTGATGACGACTACGTAATACAGATTAAGTATGTTGAACACTTAAGCGAAATAAGCGTAACAAAACATGCTACCCGCATTTTTCGACAGTAAATTCAAAGACATAGTCATATAATGTCATCCGATGGTCAGTTAGAATGTGCAACTTTGCCGTATCTAACGTAACTCGTGGTTGACGGTGTGGCTGGTTAGGATGACGCAAAATAAGTGATCTGCAAATACTGACGGCAGGGGCGGTCTATAATGGCAGCTGTTGCTGACAAATTGGGGTGATCAGTCCGAGACTGTCGAGCCTGGTTTCCGCTCCCACCTCAGTTGCCAGCCAAGCTACACATACATGGCGTTAAGCATGTGTGCAGCTTTGCCCTGTCACGGGCCTGACATAGCACCTACATTGCTGCGAAAGAAAGAACCTGGTTCTCCTCACTTTTTAGTCCGTGGAAGGTATGCAGAGCGATCTACCACTGATGTGATATATGTTGGGCGTTTTCAGTAATTTTCTAAGCATGCGGTTCATTCCACACTAGTCCAGTCACTTATGGCTCACGCTCCCCCGGCCATTCAGATAGACATTAGCCTAACAAATATTCGCACTGGATCTGCATGCGCACGCCCGCCATTAAACGAACACTTCCAAACGTGCGTGCCACAGCTCTCGCCACGACAAAGACGTGATTGCCAGCAGAGTGTGGGTGAGCTGTGCATTTACCCGGAGCGCGCTCTGAAACTGCTCCGCAGAACGCTTCTTAGAACAGCGAGACGATAATAGACATTAAAATACACCCACCGAGGCACGCGGACTACGACCAGTGCCGTCTACGGAACTCTTGGTGCAGTCAGACAAATTACGACGATCAATTTACGAGCGTCTTTCAATTAAATGAATTAGCGGCCAAGGTGGCGCAAATACGGAACAGCTATTTGCAGTTTGGGATCAGACAGCGAAGCCTGCAGGGGCGTGAAGAGCCGGTGGCGCGACGAACGTCCGGTCGCGCCGGGCGCCGGGCGCGCGTGTGTTCCAACCGCGGCCGGTCGGGGCGGGCGGCCGTCCGGTCGCGCCGGGCGCAGGGCGCGCGTGTGCTCCAGCCGCGCCGGGCGGGGCGGGCGGACCGGTGCCCCAGCGGGCCGGCACTGTGAGAACCGCGCAGAGATAAGCAAACAGCGAACCGCGCCGGATGTAGCAGCTGGCCGGCGAGCGAGCAAAGCCAGCCCGCAAAAAGCTCGCCGAAATCTCGGTAGTAAGCGGGAAATATTCCAGCCAAGTCGCGCGGCCTCAGATGCGGTCAGCAGTGCACCATTGTCTCATGGCCTATGCGCGTGATCGACAGTCAAGCCGTTTTCGTCGAATGTGGACAAGTGCAGCACCGTTGGAATATTTCTGACGGGGCTCGGTGATCATCACATGTACTTCGTGAACGCAGCTGTGGACATTAGTAATGGCTTAATCATATATCACGACGCGGATTTGCGTAACGTAAAATGTACAGTTGGCACCGCCTGCATGGTAAGAGAAGGACAGGGAATGATTCCGATGGTAAATCGAATTTTGGTACAGTTTTAGCAGGGGGTAATGTCACGTACGATTTATCAAACTCAACAGGATGACAACTCACCGAAAGGTCGTTTATAAGCGCAACAAATCCAACACCTTCCAGTCAGACACTTTATAAATAAATAGCATAGCCTGCTTCCATTTCGGCACTGGAATATCTGCCATTGCGTAAGAAGGGCGGATCGCGAACGGCTGCAGAAGAGGCATCGGCCGCACTTGCCTCCCGTTCAGGTCACGGCCAGGCCATGACCGTGGCAGGCTGCCTTTTTGAGGTGTCCGCGTGCCATGCTGACACCTACCAGAGCATCTCTCGGAGCGACGACCAAGGCCTGCCCGGTAAACACAGGCCGGTGTATTTACATTGATTCGAGCGCGCCCGGTTCCGCGCCGAAGTGCAGCGCGTTCTACGACCCCACGCCTCTCGAGACGAGCAGACGGGCGGCTTCTTCAGTTCCAAGGGCGCGGTGCACCGCGGCATGTGCGACGCTCCACCTCCTGCCGCGGTATGTGTTGTGTACTCAGGAGGCGCTGCAAAGCTGCACGCTGGGGCTTCCGCCCCCGCCCCCCTCTGGAGGGGAGGTATCCACAGGGGTACGGTCACTTGAGCCCGCGTGTGACCGCGACTGCGGACCGCCCCGCGCCGGGTGCGGCCTTGACAGTGCCTGCGGAGCGCGAGGAGCACGAACTCGTAACCCGGGCACGGCACGCCGCCGCTCCAGGCTCATGTTTTGCCCAGGTGCCTGTCTGCTCCAGCTAAGATGTTTATGGAAAGGTCACGGCGAGAAGAGATCCCTCCTTTAATGACAAGAAGGGCGCCCTGCGTGCATCGTAAGCCAAATGGGTTACAGTTGGCACAGACGCCCAGAAAGAGGTGTTTGGGGGACACACACAACCCCTTGAGTCCAGTAAATCAGCGTCCGAACAGATTATGCTGGCTAAAACAATTATTTCCAACATGGTCACTTCCATGTTTCAACAGTGCTTTAGCTTGGTCAGTCATAAGTGTCTCGGCACTTGTGAAATGTTGCCCACTGCTCTCCCCGTCTCGAGCCGGACTGTGGATCCTCGCAGTGCCTACGTTCAGCGGGCAATGCTCCGTCGTCAGCGATGCCCGCAGCAAACCACAGCCTGATTATGTCAAATTCCACTGGTGAGATTCACAGCCTCAAAATGCAAAAAGTTCACTCAAAATCCACCCGCGCCTTCTTGGAGGAAAACATATGTTGCAAGTCACGGGATTCCTCTCCATGCCATCGTAAAACAAGACAAACCCCAAATCAAAAGGAGACAGTTGACTGTTCATTTCGTTTAGCGTTCGAATTTCACTCCAAACTCAAAGGAAAGACGCGAACTATTGTTTGGTACTGCGGCCAGTTTGACTCAACCGTAATCGAAAAAAATCCAAATAGGTACCAACGCGTATAACGTGCAACATAACTTGCGCATATTTAACGAGCTGATATCGCAACATCAAACCAATGACGTCGTACGCACAAGAAGACACCTTTCTCTATGCAGCACAATACTTACGTTAACACCAAGCCGCATTGTTTACACAAGAAAGTAACCGTTTCTCACAAAGCCTACTACGTGAATCGCACTAAAACGTTTGCAAACATTTTTAGCTGTTTCAAGGTTTATTGCGGTTGCTATAGTCGAAACACAAACAACTAACTATGCTGGAACAACCTTTGCTGTGACTAAAAAACTGTTGATAGCAAGAGCCCTCAAATTCAAGTTGTTTAAAGAATCATAATCCACACAACATTTGGCGAACTTCGTTACGGTTTTGAAAAAGCCCACTCACTGTAGCCTCGTAGAAACATTTTGTGGCTGGTCTCAACAGTTTGCGGCGGCGTATTCAAGGAGAGAGGAATGGGGGGGGGGGGGGGGGGGAGGTGGCACTCAACGGGAAATTCGTGTCCGTCCTTTGCCAAAGTTGTACTTACGTTCACAAGCATGCGAATAGATGTCGACAACTAAATGAAGGTGGATGTGTAAAATAGGCAGACCAAAAATTTGTAGTGCTGTTACACTCCGTGAAATGGCCCAATCCCAAATCCTGCAGACATCCTCGACAGGATGCGTGCATATGAGCATCACGGATTCGGAGCTAATATCTATTGTCCCTGTCGATTCCATTGCTCATACCCCATAGTCCATGCGTGGTTGAGACGTTTAGATAAGTATGATGGCACCAAATAAAAAGCTTTATATCTTGCACAGCGCGCCTGCATGGCTTCGCAGATGTGCAGGAGTTATATCTGTTCCTCACATGAAACCAAAGAATGTCTCAGCTCTTCTCAAGCATCGATCCTTGGCAAGGGACGGGACGATATTTTCTGGAAAATCACGGAAGCAACGACCAAAGCGTAGTCTGAATGTCTGTGGCTCGACATTGCTAACAATATTGTTCTACTGAGTAGACTTTTGTTAGTTAAAATGCAGTCGACATTTGTGCATTCCCCTAATCTAGTTAATGCCGCTGTTTGAAAGGCGCTGCTCCTTACTCGTAGTAATTCTACCAAGTTTTGTCCAAGACATGGTCTTTAAGGAGCCAGCAATCGACAGTGGCTCATCCAATTATAACAGCATTGTAGACGATAGCACTACGGCCGACAACAAGGAGCAGCATCGACACAATTTCGGTGATTTGGGATTCGCTGCGACTGAAAAAGCCGCTATTTGGCAACATAATCTTCTCGGCGAAGATAGAAAGCAACGCAACTTTTTTGGTGGGGCTCAGTCACTCCGAAGGGATCATGTAAATCAACCCTGATTTAATGTGAGAGCGTTTTCGTTGTAATTAGCCGGCACCGAATGCCTCTGTTCCCAGGCCAAGGGGAAACCGATGCAACCGGCGGTAAGCTCGTTACACCGCAGCTGAACCGTCAGTCTAAAACTGAGGACCTCCGCGGGGTTGCTCAGGAAGGAGCTGCCAGCCAGACGTGAAACGCCTCGACGTTAGCTCTCAGACCATCACATCTCGAAACATCACCTCGATGCGACACAGACAGCGAGGACACTCAGGCCACGGAGGAGAGACCGTGCGGCGAGCCGTTGACCTCTAGAGACCCGGTATCAGGGCGGAGAGCGAGCGTGACTGACCGGAGGTGGCGGCCAGAAGCGTGAGGAGCGCGACGCAGCACCACATCTCTGCGCCGGTCACCGTCCACCACCCAGCACCGCTGTACACAGCCCCGGCACGGCGCCAGAACTAAACGGCCTCCTCCGACCCGGCGCCGGCCGCCGACCGACGGCCGCAGGGCGGCGCCACTGCTGCGGGACGCCACAGGTACCAACCCGAGCCCGGCCCCAGAACTATACCCGGGTCTCGAACCCAGAGCGCGTCTCCAGGCTCTCCTCCGGGACTACATGGCCTAGGACCCGGCCCAAAAGCCAACCTTCGTGCCTGACTCCAAAACACTCGGGACGAAATAACCCTGGAGCCGGACCAAACGGCACGCTTTCGGACTCTCCCGGCTCAACTCGAAGTGCCTCGGAATTCTTTACCTCAGGACCCCTAGCCCGAAGACCCCCTCCCCAAGCCAGACTCCAGTACCTCCAGGGCTAAATAACCCGCGGGCCGGCTCCAAAGCCCAACCCCGGGCGCGACTTAAGTAACGCGGGACCAAAACCCGGGCACCCGACCCCAGGTCCCAGCCTCGAGTCACATCGAAGAACTCACAACAGACCCAATACCGATCAGCAGCGGTCCTGACCGGCTGACTTCTGGTCTCAGCCACAAACCGAGATCGTTGTCCGCTGCCAACTTCCTGCTGTGAGCTGTGCCGTGCCAAGCAGGCGCGTGAGGCTTCGATGCCATGGCCACGTGTTGTGTGATATCGTCATCAGCTTCTCTGGCTGTAGGACGCTCCGCTCGGTGCCCTTCAGGAGGGCTTCTCTCGGCAATTGACATTGGTTAAGAATCGGCAGTGAGTGCGAACATCGTGACGGAAATGTCGACTTCTAAGCAGGTCGACCGCAAGTTTAATGCGATTGAAAGTGCAGACCTGACCTTCCTTAAGCCCTTTTTCAGGGTGGCATCGTCTTACGAAAGAAGAGGCCTTGCATTCCCATCCTGAAACGTCGAAGCACCACATTCATCATTGTCGAATGCCACGGACCGATATCAAAGGTTTGAACCGCGCTATAATAGTACGTGTTCAGAGTTCTGATCACGATGGCACGAACGTCATTTTGCATCCTTTTTCACGAACCATTGATAGCTCACAGCACTGCGCCGAAAATAGCACTCAGCTCGTATCCTCCATTCAATACACGAAATCTCACGCTTAACACGCGCCCGGGCGGCTGGTTGGAGCCCTTCGCTCGGGTGGGGGGCAATTTGACCCCATGAGATCTCAGCAACTAAAAAAGCTAGGAACACCAGATTCACAGGGTGTGTTGGCCTGCACGTGAACTCACCGGGGTCAAACTTTGACGTTCCTAGGTCATGGCATTCGGGTAAAATAAGGCCGAACAAAGTCAGAATCCAGATTGGCGTCCAAAGCGCCCCCAAAACATAAGCACCTGCTCTAAGCAGGAGATCACATGGCCATTTAAGGTTTGTAACCTTATCTGACCTTTCGAGGGTCACAGTGACCAAAATCATACAAGACAACGTTAAGTTTTCCATTTACACAAGCGCCAAGATTACGCCAAGTAGTCTGTTCCTGAAACAAAATATTGACTTCAGCCACTTTAGATCAGTAACCTATTCCGACCTTTAGAAAGACCATGGAAAATGTATAATGTGATTTCTGTTATCAATGAATTCGAAATGAGCACCAGAAACTACCCCACACAGCAAGAATGCTAGTAATAAAGAGGGTTGGGTTGACCTTGGTCTGACCTTCATACCTGACCCTAAGTCGATGGAATTTGTTCATTCGATTGTTGTGTTGCCTAAGAAAATATCTCAGAGATGTATGGCTTTTTCTAACACCTAGTTGTTGCATCAGATTGAACAATTCCCTAGAAATTACCTTCGCCAAATTCACGGCCTGACTTTCACCTGCCGTAGGTCAGCCACCTTACAAGGTACCTCTAAATTTGAGAAAACAAACAATCTGCTGTGTAATTGTGTACAGCTATGAAAAATTTGGCGTGACTACGCCGTGCCGTTTGGAAACCACTACGGAAAAACCTTCGGGGGTCCAATTGGCCCCCACTCGAGCACATGTTAAGCTGAAATGTGGTCCGCAAGTTCACAGAAGTTCGGAACGCAAATCACACGTGCAGGTGGGTGGAAATTTTGATCAGTTGCGTCAAAGCATTGAGCTGCATTGCGAGCAAGGTCCTGCGGGCGAATTGTACCGGTGATTTGGCTTTTATCATCCATAAAGAAGCACTAGAACTAACTCGAGTCAAAATATGCAAATAGTCATGCTGGGTTGTGTCGAAATAACGTGATTAGCGCTATCAAAGCGACCAGATTGGAGTCTTTTTGTGTTGCTGGTATGTCTTGGTATGCTAAAATGGAGTGAGAGGTCAACAGAGGTCAGCCATATCACTCTAACCTTACGATTACGGTCACCAGGAGTCATTGCAGCTCTTCACCACCTTTACGATAAGTCATCATAAGTCATTACGGCTCTTCGCTATCTTTTTCTTTCACGCCATAGATTCATGCAGATGATTTTGGTTGCAAAATGTCAGGAAGCTGTCCATTGATCAAAGGCGTTCATTCGTAATAATTTATCCTTCATTTACATCAGTGGTGACTTTCCAGGGGCGGTTCCAGCTCGGGTTCAAACGTACCCTTCATTGGGGATCGTCACGGGTTAAGTTATCCGCTGTCGTCACTACGGCGCATGCGCGGCCTAGAGATGTCATCGACGCTACACGCCGGGCACCGTGACATCGGAATGCAACCCTCGCAGAGAGCAAGTCGACTCAATTTCCTGTGGTGTCAGAGCAGCTGAAAGCGCTGACAACCCACATAAAGCTGATGTTGCATTGGGGAAGAGGGCGAAGCATTCCCTTCCCAACAGGCTATTGTATTCCTATGAAAGTTACCGCCCCTGGACAGAGGGAGCAGTGGCTTCCAAACACCGCGATCCCCCATACCGCATCATGAATAAGAGTGTGACCCCAGGTACACTTTGGTAATCGCATCATCTCCTACCGAACGTAGCAGGAGTGCGTGCCTCACTTCCCTGACCTCAGCGCATTGGGCTTGTTCTTGTGTGGATACCTCGACGACAATATGTCCATAAACAAGCACGGGACAGCCCAGGACCTAAATGATACCATCGGTGAGGTGCGTATGAGGGAAGCACATTTAAGTTGTGCTCTGTTGAAACCCTGTCATATAACATCTATTCACGTTCTCTGTCTTACTTTTGTCTGAATAAAACTGATGATTCGTTCCATACGCCCTTAACTCTTTCTTTTGTTTGACAGAATGGTATGGAAATACAAGTATTCATTTTCCAAAACATTTCTTCATGGATAATTGGTCATGCCATGGATGACATTCAATCTGAATGCTAACTGTACAGTGAAGACACCTTTTACGCCGTCGGATCACTGACTGACAGCAGACGTGACCGTGCTGTCATCACGCGCGGGATGACAAGGCACGAGCGCGGGGAAGGAATCGGCCCTGCGTTTACAAACAGAGAATCCCCCTTTGGTGAGGTTAATAAGAAGAGATTCACTGTTGGATAGGTTTTGCGCACATTTTGCAAATGGCAGTGATAATCTTGGTTGGATTTTAGCTTTGGCGTGTAGAGAGACTGCGGTTTTATTGTCGAAAATCGATAGCCGTGGCTTGTGGTTTGAGTCAGGGCCTGATCAAATTCTTGAGACAATACGTACTTGCCATGCAAGCTCCTCCATACAGCAGGCCAGTCTGAAAATACATGGCAGGTTTTACGCATGATAACAGCGGGATAGGGATAAAGAACAAGCTACTGAAATATGTTGCATATTCTACGTGCGTAGTTGCCCAGATAAAAGTCGACCGGTGTATCCCTCTACAGTGCCGTGTATTTTTGTTGCGCGAGCGTGACTGTGGTGGCGCCTAGCCGACTGTCAATTGATTACCAAAACACGATCAGCGGCAGTGACGGTCAACAGCTGTTCACATCCGCCCAATCGTGACCGCAAACGGTGCTCCAGGTAAAACCCCCGACCGCCCAAGATAGGCAACAGCTGTTCACATCCGTCCAGTCGTGACCGCGAACGGTACTCCAGAGGAACCTCCGGCTGTCCAGGATCCGCGACAGCTGTCCTCATCAGTCCAATCGTGACCGCAAACGGTGCTCCAGGTAAAACGCCCGACTGCCCAGGATCCGCAACAGCCGAATCTGCTGTAGGTAGTCCATCGTTTGGTCGATTGTCCATGGTGTTACGCCTAATTTTAGAATCAGCAAACCATCTTTTTTTGCTGAAAAGTTATTTTGCACGGTGCAAATGTGAGGTATACCAATGAAGTCCTGTAAGTCATGAAACAAGTGGTAGTGATCTTCTTACGATGAGTCTCCAAACATCTTCTGATTTGGGTTTTTAATAAACGATGGGCCGTGTCCAAAAGTTGATGCAAAAATGAATATTTCAAGTGTTTCAGACACCTCAATTTTATATATAAGAAAGCAAGAACACTTGCTTTATGGCTAATCAATTTTCTAACAAGGCGGCGTAAATTGAGGTGGACCAAATCCGGGCAGAAATACGTCTTTGTTGGTGGGGGTAGGTTAATATCAACAGTTCCCCAACCGATTCTGGAAAGTGATACCGCTGGCTGCATGGCAACGATACCTACTCAAACAGCCGTTTACCAATGTTTCTAACATCATTACGCTTGACTTAGACAATGTGTTTCTTACCGTTGAAAAATTAATTAAACTTTCATTTACAGCCCGTCTTCAGAAGTTGATGTTGGGGATTTTACGAGCTTACGAGCTTTTACGAGAAGCCCAACAGTGATGTATCGTGACACAATAAGTGATCCATCGCATGGGGCCAGCGTGGTGCCATAACATACCTAGCAATCCTCCATTTTCACATGAAGATTGCTGCAAACTGAATAACTCAGTCCTCAGAAGCCCATGGTTGGTTTCGGCGAGTGCACAGTGAAGTCCGCGTCATTCATGGCAGTCCAGCAGACAGAGATTCACATGCATTTACCAGCTTATATGCAGTACGAGCTGGTCATAACTTGGTTGGGCATTCGTTTTACCAGGTACAACATTTTT